CATGACCTGAGCTGAAACCAAGAGTCTGATGCTTAACCAACTGAACCACCTAGGCGCCCCATAAACTATGAACTTTTTAATTATTACTTACTACCATCAAATTCAATCTCTGCCTCTTACTAGTTAGAGGACTGTGAGAGAAAATACAGTATGGGGCTCCATCCCAGGACCCTGGGATCATGACTTGAGCCAAAGGCAGACGCTTAACTGACTGAGCCACCCAGGCACTCCAGTTGTGAAGGTTTAAATAACACATGTTCCATGCCAAGAGTAGCACCTGGCACATAGTAAGCACACCAAAAATCTATTATTATTATTATTATTATTATTATTATTATTGGCTTTACGAACAAAGTCCACCTTGGGCCTGGGTTTTTTTGTTGTTGTTGTTGTTGTTTTGCTTTTGAGAGAGAGAGCAAGGGGTGGGCAGAGGGAGAGGCAGAGAGAGCATCTTAAGCAGGCTCCACACCCAACACGGAACCTGACGCAGGGCTCGATCTCACGACCCCTGAGATTATGACCTGAGCTGAAATCAAGAGCCCCGGACGCTTAACCAAGTGAGCCACCCAGGCACCCCTGGGCCTGGTTTTACCATTGCACATTTTGGGGAAGGGATTACTGACTAGCTGAGTGCTTCTGGAACTTAGCACCAGATTACTTTGAGAATCCAATGGCTATCTGAGGAAAAACACAGACAGTCCATGCACATAGGCACACATATTGCCTACACGCTGATGGGCCTCTGCAGCCAAGGCCGGGGCTCCAGGTCAAGGACCTCGGAAAGCAAAGATCACCAGTGGCCCTTCCAGTTCTGGAGTCTGTGCGTCTCTGGGGTGGGAACAGCTAGGCAGCCAAAGGAGCATTACTACTTAAGGCCGGGGTGTATGCTTGCTTGGGCGATTTAGGCCTGCAGCTATTTTTACTTTGGCTATATATGGCCAGGGCAGGAAGGGGGCTATAGGCGGGGGAGGGGTGCCAGGCGGCTTACAGCAGGGTTCAGGAGCTTGGGAGTGGGAGCTCCTTGCCTTCACCACCTTCCCCTCCCAGGGGAGAGCTGGAGAGTGGAGGAGAGGGAGAGGCTGTGGCTATAGGAGTGGCAGTGGCTCCATGAAGTCACTTTAGAACAGTGATTTTCAAACTTTTTTGACCATGACCTGCAGTAAGAAATACATTTATACACACATCATGTAAGAAATACACGATGCGTGTAAACACAGAGGTTTTTACACACACACACATTATGTATGTACATGCATCTTCAGCTGAACAAACAATACTCTGACGCTCTGTGAAACACTCTGCTTTTTCTCTTCTTGTTCTTTCATTTTTTAAAAATGCAGGTCATGACCCACTAAATTGAGGTTACCACCTGTTAATGGGTTTGGAAAACCGCTGTTTCCTTTGGCTGCAAGGTAAGGTGGAGAGCGGAGGAATGGCACTTACTGTCCCTTTGATCAGTACTTCCTGAAACTGGGGATAAGATGCAAGTTTCAGCTTCATCTCCTGGCTGGCAGCACGTTCTAGACTTCCTGGCTTTCGTGCACTCTGTTCTCTCAACCTGGAACACTCATCCTCCACCCTTGTCACCTGCCTCACTCCGTACTCCGGAGCCCAGCTTGCCACTTACTCCAAAAAGCCTCCCTGATTGCCTCAGTCTGGTGAGTTGCCCGTCTCTTCCTCCCTTAGTCCCCAGTACTTTCCTGCGTAGCACCCGACACCCTATAGTATGATTTCTTGTAGATTCTATGGAAGGTGGGGACCCTTTCCATTCTGTTCATTTCTACATTCCTCCCTCCCAGCATTTATACTGCTGGCTTCATAATAATCACTCAGTACATATTTATTGAGCGAATTCATGAGACTTAATGGTAATTATAGCAACTACCATTTATTGAGTACCCATTTGACCCATGAGAAATCTTAGGAGAGATTAGCATAAGTCCATTTTATTGGTGAGGAAACTAAGGCTCCACGATATGAAATAATAGGATAGGCGAAGGTAATAACCCAGGGCTGCCCGACTCCCAGCCGTTTCGAATCACAGAATCTTACTTGTCTACATTCTCTCCAGCACTACTCAGGATGGGGCAAAGGGCAGGTCCTTAACAAACCCTCAGAGGACTGATGACAGGTTGATTAAAGAGATTTTCCGAAGCAGTGGCCACATCTAATTTTGGAGAGTTGCACCTCGTGTGTGGCTTGGGAGAGATCTGTGAGGTTTCCAGGGCCCCTGGATGTGGGACTGTCTCATCTGGAAGAAGAGTTTGGGCCTCTGACAAACCAGAGGAGCAAGTCTTCCGGTCAACCTGGCCTGAAGACCTCCCGCGCACACCCAGAGTCAAACCCAGGGCTCTGCAAAGCCTACGTGATCTGGCGCACGCCCACAGCTCCACCGTCAGCCCCTGCCTGTTCCCTTCGTCCATCCACTCCATTCCTGCCACCCTGGCGGTCCTGCTGTTCCTCAAGCATGCCAAGTCCAGGTCTGCCTCAGGGCCTTTGCAAGTGCCACTCCCTCCCCGCCTGGAAGGTGTTTCGCCCTCCGGAGGCCTCCCACCGGCTCCCCAGACCACGCTGTCCAAAAAGTCATCCCCTTCCTTCTCTATTTGTTCGGGCCTTTGCTTGCTCACTGCCCTGGCTCCTGGAACTTGCTGTGGCATGGTGCCCCACATGTAGTTGGTGCTCCGTAATATTGGTTGCATGAATGAATGAATGAGTGAATGAATAGGTTTCCCCCCTTTAAGACATATTGGGAAATCAGTCCATGGTTTCTCAGAAATGTGTGTCTCTATGACTCACACCCAGGCCCCCAACACACACACCTTGGTTTGGAGAGAGGAAAGAGGGAAGGAAGGAACATTGGGCCTACTGTGTACCACTTTGCATAGGTAACCGACACCCCAAAGCACTCAAGGATCATCTCCATGTTCTAGCCAGAGAAACTGGGGCCTGCTCCCTACTTGTCCCCAGTGCTCAGCACAGTGTCCAGCATAAACATCTAGGGAATTGAGGTGCACCGAACTGTAGAGGTTCAGCAAACGGCTGAAGGTCACCGAATTAGGAAGTGTGGAGCCAGAATTTGTCCTCAGCGCTGTCCGATTCCAGCCAGTGCTGTGTCACCACCACTGTGCCCACAGAAACTCCGGGGACGCAACCCACATCCAGACACATTTGAGGTGGGCCCTCGCCAGACACTCACCAGGGGGCAGCCCAGTAGGGAGCCCATGCTGTACCTGAGGCCCCTCTGGATAGGCCCACAGGCCTCAGCTTGAGCATAACTTCCACCGTGGGCTGGTTCATGCTCCTTCCTTCCTGCTCCACCAGAAACCCACTCCCAGACTGCCCACTTCCTGCCCTCTGTCCTAAAGAGGGGAGACGAATGGCAAATATACTATGAATGCCTTCTGACAGACGCCAAAATATTTTCTTTAAAGCAGCTATAGTTTTTGAGTTATCTGCATCAGCTCCTCTTCCCAGTGGGGCATGTTAAGGAGACTTCAGAAAAGTATCCTGAGCTGGAAGGAAACTGAATGACCATTTAAAGCAGAGCCAGCCAACGTTCCTGTAAATAGCTGAATAGTAAATATTATAGGCTTTGTGGGCCAAAAGGATATTATGTAGGGACTTCCATATAATTTCCACATGTCACAAAGTAGAGTTCTACTTTTGATTTTTTCCAAATATTTCAAAATGTAAAACCACTTTCAGCTTATAAGCTGTACAAAAACAGGCATCAGGCCAGTTTGGCTGGCTAGCCATAGTTTGCAAGTGCCTGATTTAAAGCAATGCTACTTAAACTTTAATGTATATAAAATTTTCCAGGGGAGCTTGTTAAAACAAATGCCTGGGCCTACCCTTAGAGATTCTGATTCAGATTCAGTTCTAGGTGGGGCCCCTGAGTTTGCTTTTTTAACTGATGGACAGATGATGTTGATACTGCCTGTCTAGTGACTGTATTTTGAGCAGCACCTGACATTCTAAAGCCCATTTTGTGGATGAGGAAACAGAGGCCCAACTAAGTGATATATGCAAAGTCATGCTCAGTGGATGAGGTGATGATATCTTCTCTGCCACTTCCCACAGCTGTTTTGCCACGGAAAATTCCTCTTCATCTCCTTAACTCACCGGGCAGGCTCATGCTTTTGAGCTTCTTCCTCGTTTCTCTCCCCACTCACACCCTCTCTAAAGCAATTTTCCCAACAAGATCCAGCTCAGATGTCACCTGTTCTAAAGCAGTCCCTGACCTCCTCAAATCTAACTTCTCTGCCCCAGCACTCTGTACCTACTTGTGTATAATTGTTTGTCTACGAGTCTATCTTTGAAGCCTTGGGCTGTATCTTATTCCTCTTTAAATCTAACTCTTTTTATAATACCTGGCAAATAGGAGGTACCACAGAAATATGCTCTAAAGAAAACAATGGATGGATGGATGGATGGATGAGTAGATGGGTGGGTGAATGGATAGATGGGTGGATGGATGAGTGGATGGGTGGGTGAATGGGTAGATGGGTGGATGGATAGATGGGTGGATGGATAGATGGGTGGATGGATGGATGGATGGGTGGGTGGATGGATGGATGAGTGGGTGGATGGATAGATGGGTGAATGAATAAATACTTCATGATCTATTGCTTGAAAATAATTTTCATGGCAAAGTTGAGATTAGAACCAAACTGTTCTAGAGCACAAGCCAGGGTATATTCCATGGCTGTTTGTCATCCTAGCATGCAAACAGTAGTAGTTAGGTTTTACTGAATGTGCGTTGAGTGTGTTACAGCAGGTCTTGTCCTAAACACTGCTCAATGGCCCTGTTATTGGCCCCACCTTTACTAACGAGGAAATGGATGCTGAGAGAGGTAGGCAGCTTGCCCAACGCCACACAGCAAAGAACATCCTGGCTCTTCTGATTCTGTGTCACCTTGCCCCTCCCTCTTCCCACCCTCCACCAGTCTTCCTCACTGGTCTGGCTCCTACTAGCTCTGCCGGCCCCAGGCTGGGCTCACCTCCATCTGCATAGGTCTCGGTGCCATAGCCGTCCTGCAGGCCATTGTTCCAAGTGCCTTCATACTTGGCCCCGCTGCTGCCACTCTGCCGAGTTCCGTAGCGTCCCTTGAAGCCGTGCGTCCACTCGCCCTTGTAGAGCCAGCGCCCCTTGGTCTCTATGCCCAGCCCATGCCGTTTGCCCTGGCTCCAGTATCCCTCGAAGGTGTTCCCACTGGGCCAGGTGTAGACGCCCGCCACTTCGAAGCCAAAGTTCCAGGAGCCCGAGTATTCGCCCTGGCCCTTGGGGCCCGTGCACAGTCCATGTCCATGGGCCTTTCCCCCCTCCCAGCCCCCACAGTATGCCCCACCATCATCAAAGTCAAAGCGGCCCCCACTCATCTCATCGTAGCCCCTGACAGCCTCACCGTCCTCCAGCTTGGGGAAGAGAGGGCAATGGGGGGTGCCAGCGACACGCTCCAAGCACACTCAGGGCTGGCGCCCCTGACTCACCACTGTGCCCCAGGAGGGAGAAAGCGAGATGCCACCAGAGGCTGAATGAGCCCAGGAGCCAAGTCAGCACCGGGTCGGCTGGTCAGTGCCATGCCTGGGAGGCCCCCACTCAACCAGCCAGAGGAAGGCTGCCAGTTGGGAAGGAAGCAGGAGGGAAAGATTCAAAGTCTCCATAGAGTGTCCCAAGTCTGGCTTCCCTGGAGTCAAAGGAAAAACGGTGTGATCCCTTTAAGAAGCACAGTGAAAGGGGTGGGGTGGAGGGGTCCCCAGTCTGTTTCGAAGAGGGTAAATTCTTCCTTGGTGACAGCCCCCAGCCCGAGGCTGAATTCCTGAAGCCAGCTGGCCCCCTTCTCCACCCAGTGGGTGTGCGGGGCTGTCGATCTCCCTGCCACTGCCCCGCCCCTCTGGATCCTGCCCTCCTCCTGGGATGGAAAGGTCAGTGTTGCCCTAACAAGGCCATTGGATCTCAGAAGCTGCTCCCAAAATAACCCCCTGGCTAGCCCAGCCTCCTTCAAAGCGGGAGGGGTGTTTCAAACTGGGCTAGTGCTTCAGACCCAGGGAGTAGCTGGAGGGGCGAGGAAGGGCAGCTGAGAACTAAGTGTGGGCAGCTGGCGCAATTGGATGGCTTTTCTTCCCCCTGGGTAGGAGCTCCCTTCCACCTTCGGGGTCCCCTGAGTCTGCAGGAGGGGAAGGGGCAGAAGGGCCAGGGAGGGGAGGGGAGGGAAAATTGGAGTAGCAGAACAGCTAGTCCTGGAACACTTAAAATCCCCCAGAGCACAGAGGTTGGCAAATCTCAGCCCCACCACCACTCACATGCCCTAACAGGCCCTGGGGCTATACACACTGCCAGTCCCGTGAAGGAATCTGGTGACCTAAAGAGAAAGGAACGGGCATGGCTTCACTTTGAAAGCAGAGGAGGGAACTCAGGAGGAGAAGTGAGGTTCTGGAAACAGAGTCTGGAAGATAGAGAAAACCGAGTCCAGCGCTCATGCACAACCCCCAGTCCCTCTCCACACCCCCCGGGGAAAACCCTGGAAAGATCCTGCAGAAGGCACTGAACGCTCCCTGGCTTTCTCCTCTGAGGGGCGAGGAGCCCTTCTTTATCTCTGAGACACAGGGTTGCTGGTTATTTGAAATGAGGTTGTCTCCGCAATACTCGAGAATGAGGTTGTCTCCGCAGTACTCGAGGACTGTGATTTTTTTTTAAAATATCCCCTTTCCGAGTTTTCTTTTTCTCTGGTGTCTTCAGAGTCTGTGAGGCCAGACTTCAGAAAGCTCTTGGGGCAGGGACAGGAGTGAAGGGCCTGGGTGGATTCCCAGCACTCAGGTTCCCACCAAACTTCAGGGAAAGGGACAAATAAATCTCTATGACATGAAGCTGTGGCCAGGACTAAAGGTTGGAAATCCCAACTGAGCCCGGGGTTAACAGGAGCATGGAGTAATTCTGGGAAAGGTAGGAGCCATCAAGAACCGGAAGCTGTTGTGGGGGGTGGGGAGCGGAGATGGAGAGATATGGAGGAGAGGAAGGATAGAAATCACTAAAAAAGCAAGCGCAGAAGGCACTTGAGAACTATTGGACTATTATCTGACTTCAGACTTAATCTGACATACTCCAAATCCCACGATGACTCAGGCTCCTTGAAGTCGCCGCGGAAGATTTGTTCTTGTTTCAGAAATGGACGTAAATGTTCTCTCCCTTCATCCAGCGGACTCCCAGTCCTTCCTGGTTCCTTCGCTGTTAAAGAGCCCCTTCTGGGTCCACGTTTCACCCCCAGGCAGAAACACGCAGCCTCTGAGCTCACTATCGCTGGCTGTTCGCCAAGGGGACAGGCAGCAAGCAGCAGCGGATAAACACTGCATCATCTAGGTTTGGACTCACCATCCTGCCAGGTGGATGGACTGAACTGCTTACACAAATTCACTTCTAAGATTGCCTCGCTGCCGACCCCAGAGAGCTCTGCTTTTGCCACTTCTCACCGAGGTCTCTGGAGAATCACACGTTTCTTTCCAGCTCTGCTCTCAAGAGGAGAGGAAAGCAACATCTCCAAGCGGAAGTTAGAGGAGTTTGAATTGCCCAAGTTCAATAGGCTTTGTAGTTAAATGCTGGGCGAATCACCATAATCCCGTCCTAAGGCGGGGTGGTGGCTGTGTCCTTCGGAGCTTTTCCGCCGGATAAATTTAGCCACTGTGCGTCCGTGCAGTTCCCTACGGTGGTTCCCTACCAAGGGTGGATACACATAAGATTTAGGTTCAACACCTGCTGAACTTCAACACATAAACAGATTCCAGATTCCAGAGCTCCCCCCACCCCAAACCAATGAATAGATTGTTCCCGGAAAAGGCTTGGGCAGTTGTATTCTTTTTAAAAGCTCCTCAGAGGAATCTGACTCGTTCCTGGTTAAGAACTACTCACACTGTATGTTTTCAAATTAAGAAACTGTTTCTTTCTTTCCTTTCTCTTTCTTTCTTTCTTTTTAATATTTTATTTATTTATTTGACAGGGAGAGACACAGCTCCACAGCTTCCTACCCTACCCAGCCTATGGTACATGGATTCGTGAAGGTGTACCACAGGCTGGGCAGGGTAGGTAGCTGTGGAGTTAGACCACAGGGGTGGTCACCAAGGGGTGACCCTGGACCAATTGTTAATTTCCTTAAGCCACAAATTCTTCAACTGTAAAAGTACCTACCTCAAAGGATTATTAGTATTCAGGATAACAGTATCTTCTTTATATGGTTGAGTAATTTCATACCGTAAAAAGGCTTGGAACACACTAAACACCTAATAAATATTAGCTATTATTAATATTATGCTCACATGATAAGTTGCTCTTCAAACTAAAATGCTTAATAAGATAGTCACCAAAGAGGTAAGTCAGAATCACCCCCTAAATACTAAGTATCTTGACACCTAACTACTTCTTACTCTTCACAATACATGTTTACTCAACATTGCCCTGTGGTTTTTCACTTTTTAAGCTGATAAACTATGTTATTGGTGAAGGGACATTTTGATTTCTTAAAAGTTTAAATTTTTTTGCCGAATTTGGTACTGGCTTTAGGCGACCAGTGCTGAGCTTTTCGAGAGAGGCTTTTGCCTCTCCTGTTAAACCAATGCATTCCAGGGAAAGGGAGGCCTCTGGAGGCCATCTGCGCATTACAGCAACTTTACCTTAGGAAAACCCAGTTCCCCGAACAGAGGGGAATTTACTAAACTTGGAATGAATTCGAAACCACTTTTTAAACAGCTATCCCATTCTTGCTTTTTCCCAGGTCTTTTCTTCGTCTGTGGTTCTGTTCTTTGATCAGAAAGGGCAGTCATTTGCTCCCTCTGTTTCTCATTTCTCAGGTATGGATCGCTTCCTAGGGAGCCTAGAGGGGAGGGACCTGAAAATCCAGAACAAAGAGAAGGCCTGCACACAGAAACCCACCTGAGTACTTCTCAGCCACTGAGGACTCAGCTGAAGAAGCCCCGCCTCCCCAGACAAGTTTTCCTGTCTGGGTTAGGTGCCTTTGCACATGTGGGCTCTTTCTCCAACTGTGCATTGTTTGAAGCAAGGATTATCGTCATTCCAAAAAAAAAAAAGCATGAACGCATACTAAGTGCCTGGTGCTCCGGCTCACTCTTGTATGCCCAGTGCCTGCACACTGTGGGTGCTCACCTTTCCTTCTCTGCCCCATTTGGCAGCTTTCAAGTCCCTTCTTAATTAAATGCTTTTTCACTTGACCAATAGGACTGTTCTCTTGATTCTGCGCCCGCCTCACGGGCTGCTCCTACCTAGACTTTGGCTGGTTCCTCTTCATTCCGCTGACTTTTAGAACGTGGGAATGTCTCAGAGCTTGGTCCTCTGTCCGGGTCTTTACCTACATTCACGTCCTAGGTGGTCTCTTCCAGTCTGAGCTTTAGGTAACACTCATATCCTGACGGCTCCTACATTTGTACCTCCAGCCTGTACCTCCCCACCCATCTTCCGTATAGGTCCACCACCAATGTCGCCACAGGGGGTCTCAGAAGCACCTCACACTTGGTAAGAGCAAAACCAGACTCCCAACTTCTCCTCCCGTATCTGCTCCTCCAGCCAGCTTCAGCTTATTTGGAGTCCTTAAATGCAGTTTTTCTCTCATACCCTGTATCCAGTCCATCAGCAAATCCCCTCAGCTGTACCTCTAAACTAGTTCCAGAATACATCTTTTCCTCTGCACTGCCAAGCATCCGAGCCACCAAAGCCCATTGCCTGATTTACTGCAGTGACCTCCCAACTGCCTCCTTGCCTCTCCTTCTCCTGCTCCCCTCAGTCCACACAGAACAGCCAGTGCTCTTGGTAAAGGCCAGTCTGATAGGCCTCGCCTCTCCTCCAACCCCCCCAAATGGCCCCTTACCTTAGGAATCACAGCCTTTAAAATGGCCTGCAAGGCCCTCCATGATCTGCCCCCTGCCCCACGCTTCTGTGACCTCGCCTGCTTCAAGCCGCACTGACATCTTTGCTGGGTCTTGGCTCAAATGTCACCAACCTCATCACAAGAAGCTTCTCTGACCACCCAAATAAAAGAACCACCCTGTCCCCAGCCCCAACCCTTACAATACTGGAATCCTTGTCTCTCCATTGAGTACAAGAATGTCATTCTGCTTGCTGTTCTATTCCCAGCACCTAGTATGGTTGTGGGCACTCCAGGTGTATTTGCTGAATAAATGGATGAATGAATGTTCTATGAATAGTTAATAAAGGCACATGTCAGGATGCTACTTTTCAAAACATCAGAGTAAAATTTCTCAATCCATAATCTGACTCCATCTCCCAGGGTGCATTCAAGAAAGATAAATTGCACTCACAAAAGGTCAAATGTTCCGGGGAGGGACAGTCATATTAAAGTTGGCCCAACTGGGTCTGA